TTTTTTGTTTTTTTGGTAGCTGGGTTTTGATGTAGGACCTCTCCATGCCTGCTGCTTGCTGCATCTTTTGTTTGTTTTAATGGAAAATTAAAGATGCTCTTTTTAATTCCCTATACTTTTTGATGTATAAGAGCACCCGCATCGCACTTTTTTTTCTGGCCGTTTAAATGGAAGGGGGGCGTTAAAACGGATGTGGCGCGTTCATTAAATAAGGCTCCCCCCCCTCTTTGCCGTTCAAAGCCCTGAAAGCCACTTACTTGTTTTATTATTTTTCTTTTTGTTTTTCTTTTGTTGTTTTAAATGTTATTTTAATGTCATTTTTTTATTATTTATCAAAATTATTAACTTATCTTGTTTCTTTTTCTTTATATATATATACTTAGTTCAATTATTATTCAAATCATACTTCTCAATATGTATCAATAATTTACATATTTTATCATCTCATTCTTTATATATATATATATATATATATATAAATACACTACGATTTTATAACTATCTTGACTCATTTTGCCACCAACTAAAAAAAATATTTTTTTCTTGTGCAATCTTATTTTAACTTATTTTAGTCTTGTAGTGTTATTTTATTTTCATGCATTTAAAATTTATTATTATAATTTAAAAATAATAAATTTTTATTTTTGTAGAGAATAGAATATTAAAATTTATATTGAATGAGTGGATAATGGGTCTCATATATGTGTTTAAATAGATGGATAGGAATGTGGGTGTGTGTTTAAATGAGAGAAATTTAGTGAAAAAATGATGTGGATGAGAGAGAGTGTTAATTTTTGATTGAATGAATGGTATGAATGTGGATGCCCTAACAACAAGGATATGATTAAAGATGGCCAGCCAACCTGGCCCGCAAGGCTGGTGGGCCTTCCATGGGTGGCCCTTCATCGGCGCCAAAAACCAAGGACCGTGTAATGCTCGGTATTTTATTAATAAAAGAAATATACTAGCTTTTAAATATAAGCTAGCCTTTGTTAATTAATTATTCATGTTAATGTTCAAGTTTAAGTTATTCAGCTAGCTTAATTTCAAGTTCGACCTTAAGTTGAAAGTATATCCGGTTAATTTTATTTATTAACCAAGTCAATGATAGTAATTAATCTCAGTCCGTTTATATAAATAAATGGACATCAACGAGTTGGGATTAATTATTCTAATATTGACATATTAATCGAATTTGAAAATATTCGATTAATTGTCAAAGATGAGTTTCGAGCTTAATTAATAAGTTATTCAGAAATAAGTTCGACTTTAAGTCGATAGAATATTCGGTTAAATTATTTTAAGTAATCGAATCAAATTCGATAATTAGTTTTCGAAATGTTTATTTTTATACACGGATATTATTAATCGGGATTAATTATTTGTAATCAAGATTATTAGAATTAATTTTCGAAATCAAGTTTCAACCGGAAATGAGTAAATTCGGTTTAAATGGTCATGTTTACTTATCATCCCTATACAGCAACG